GGGTCCCCAGTGACCCCATTCTGAGGCAGGGGGTCCCCACAATCCCATTCCGAGGCAGGGGGTCCCCATGACCCCATTCTGAGGCAGAAGGGTCCCCACAATCCCATTCCGAGGCAGGGGTTCCCAGTGACCCCCAGGCCAAGGCAGAAGGGTCCCCAGTGACCCCATTACAAGGCAGAAGGGTCCCCAGGGACCCCATTCCGAGGCAGGGGACCCCCCCGCGCCCCCGCGCTCACTTCTGGGACCACTCGAGGTTCATGCCCGACTGCATGGCGAAGGCGGCCAGCATCTCCTGCTGCTCGGCGGCCAGCGTGGGCACGGGGCTGGACGAGGGCGTGGGCGCCGGCATGGCGAACGCCTTGCGCAGCTCCTCCGTGCTCGCGTTGCGCACGAAGAGCTCGTCGTTGACGATGCACAGCCTGCGCCAAACGGGGGGAGCGGGACCCCAAAGAATGGGGGAGGTGGAGGGGTACCCCCGTGTCCCGCTGCTGTCACCCCGTCACTCACCCCGTGTTGCCGGCGGGCACGGCGATGAACATGCGGGTGAAGGCGCGCACCGAGTCGCGCGACTTGCCGTCCACTGCGGGGCCGAGGAAAGGGGTGACGGGGGTGACGCGTGGCGGGGGACACGGGGAGGGGACGGCGGGCGGCACCGAGGCCACCGCGGCGGGCACCCACCTTCCTTGAAGATGCCGTGCACAGCGAAGCAGAGCAGCGTGTTCTGCGGGGCGCGGGAGACGCAGAGGGTGTGAGCGGCGGGTGTCCCCCCCGGGGGACATCCCGGGGTCCCCCCCAGGCCCCCCGCTCACCGTCTGGGCGCACACGTCCACCACGAAGGAGTTAACATCGTGCTGCGTCTTGGGCAGCTCGTTGAGGAAGGCCACCACGTTGAGGCGCGTGTGCTTGAGCAGCTTGAAGCGCATGGCTGCGGGAGAGGGCACCGTCAGCGCTGGGGACACCGCGGGACAGCGAGGGGACAGCGAGGGGACACTGCAGGGACACCGCGGGACAGCGAGGGGACAACGATGGGACATGGCGGGGACACCGAGGGACAGCGAGAGGACAGCGAGGGGACAGCGAGGGGACACTGCAGGGACACCACGGGACAGCGAGGGGACAACCATGGGAACACCGTGGGGACGTGGCGGGGACACCGAGGGGACAC